TTAAGGACCAGGGCTCTTTTAACACTTTTGTGGTGTTTGTGTTTAGCTGTAATTTTTCTCTCTGTTCTCTCTGTTTACTGTTCTCCTACAAGTTATATATTGTTTTTTTCAGGACAAAAAGGGCTTTCTTTACATACCGTTATCTGTATCATGTCATATAATTTACTTTAAAAAAAATAAATAAAATATGGTGAAAAATTGAAAATTTTTGACTTTTGCTTGAAAAATCTTTTACTTACCTCCGCAAGCTAATAAAAAAACTGCTAAATAGATTAAAAATGTTGTCCTGAGTTTAAAAACACCCAGTGTTTATGTGCTTTTTTGCAAGTTATAGGGCTATAAGTACAAATAGGAAATTGCTGTTTCAAAATATATTTTTAAAATGTATCAATAGTGACTTTGTAACTCTATTATCTGTCATAAATCTCTGAATCACACCCCACATGTACATATTTTTTTAAAGTAGACAACCCAGGGTATTCAATATGGGGTATGTCCAGTCTTTTTTAGTAGCCACTAGTCACAAACACTGGCCAAAGTTAGCGTTAATATTTGTTTGTGTGTGAAAAAAGTAAAAAACTAAATTGAATGCTAATTTTGGCCAGTGTTTGTGACTAAGTGGCTACTAAAAAGACTGGACATACCTCATTTGCAATACCTTGGGTTGTCCTCTTTTGCAAATGGTATGCCATCATGGGGGTAATTCTCATTCCTGGGCTACCATACGCTCTCAAAGGCAACATAACCAACCTGGCAATTTTCAATGTAAAAATATTTGACCCTTATATTTGACCCTGTAACTTTCAAAAATGCTATAAGACCTGTACATCGGGGGTACTGTTATACTTGGGAGACTTTGCTAAAATATTAGTTATTTCAAAACAGTATGGGTCTGATGTCTGCATCATCTCTACCTCCCAATTGGATTAGTTTTCTGTCATGTGTTAAATCTTCCCCTTGAGATCGGGGAGAGGCTGAAGATAATAGTATAGAGACAGATTAGAAAGAACAAGGGAGGAGAATGAGAGGGGGGATTCTAGATCATGCTTGTCCTGTAGTACAAAGCAGTAGGAATGGGGGGGAGGGGTAATGTGTCCCTAGTATGTACGTGTCTGAGTATACACCTAGGTTCCCAGGGGGCAGCTTTCCCATGGTTCCCAGATCTTCTGGAAAGTTTTTAAGGTACCCCTAATCCTGGCCGTTAGATCATCCATTAAGTGTACATTTTTAATCCTGTTTATTACCCCTGCTATGGAAGGAGTGCTTTGCTTGAGCCATTCTGATGCTACAGCTCGTCTTGCTGCTAGGGTGATTTTGTGAATGAGCTTTTGTTCACTCCTGGTCCACCCATCAATGGATATGCTTAGTAATTACAGCCATGGGTCTAGGTCTGGGGCTCTAGAAAATACTTGGGTCAATAGATCCTTAATTTGGTTCCAAAAGTTTATAATCTGTGGGCACTCCCACCACATGTGTAAATATGTGTAAAATGTAGTTTAGAACGGTGTTAATGTAGAATCTTCTTAATTTCTTCTTGTCTTCAGTTGATTGATATATATATATACGTCTTTTGTATATATAGTCTTGGGCCAAATGCTCGCCACAATAATATATGTCTATATTATTGAAAAGTAGTAATACGCAATCTGACTTACGGTTTCTTCTGGTTTATTCTTTGTTATGGATACATAATAAAACATAATAAATGATGTTACAGGATAATGGACATTCAACAGCAGATGGTAATTGCTGTACTTCTGATGGGAGAGTTACATCGTTGTACAGAGCCAAGAGCCAAGCCAAGAGAGAGAGACCTCGTGTCCCTCTGTTACTATATAGAAGTGTTCATACTAACGTCAGCGTTTAACTCTAGCCATATAAGGACAAGACCCCCACATCCACATTCCAGAGCTCTCGGACAAAGAAAGCCTTGTGACTTATACCATCTGTTACTTATGTCAATCTACACATCCATATATATATATAATCAATAGAAACATAGAATATGCAATATTCTACATTCCCTCTATTTATGGTTTGTCTTAAAACCATAACACAATGTAACTAACCTGTCCATTCATACATCACTTGTATCACATTCATTGAGCATAGAACAAGATGTAGTCACAACTTTCTATTATAGAGAGTTCTTAGAAGGTCGAGTTTCTATCCCTCCTACTGCTTACTTTACTTCAAAACTCCCTCTGTTTCAGCTATGTATTGATATCCATATCCATGTTACATCATAACTACTTGAACATAATATATACATATATATAACAATAATAAATGAATAAAATAAAATATTTACAAATGTTGATCCAATAAACAATAAAGCAATCAGAAAGATCTACCTGCTCAGGTACAAACATGTCTTTGTGGACAACAAAATCAAGATGATAACTTTCTAGATAATAACTGTGTATCACTATCATATTCCTACAGACACATATAGCATAGTATTTTCATTCTCAATACCTGATATTACTTGAGTACCAATACATGTATTACTATAATATCCTGTCTAATTATATTTCCATGAATCATATGGTTTCTAGCCACCTTAAAATCTTTAGGTCATTTGTATTCATGAATTACATTCCTATACCATTAATACCACCTAGTGATGATTGTATCAGTACTTTACAATCATAGTATTTAATTTGTATATTCAGTAGGCTCTCACTACCTGAAATATATCAACACTACTTATAAGTCTCATTCAAAGGATGTGTTATCAACCAGGAAGTTCTAGAATAATTCTTTGATTAATGTTCATTGTGTTGACAATACTTATTGTTCTAGAAATTCTCCACCCAGAAATCTTTCTATCATAGATTTGTTTTTGTTTACATAATTATAATTTCCACTAAAATTCCACCTTGTAGTAACAAACATTTCATTCAACAGAAACATGGTTTACTTTAAAAGAACTTGGAAATAATAATTTAAATTCATTAGCATCACTCTCTTCATTAGCATTGTGATGACTTATTAATGTAATACATCTTAAAAGCAGGATTGTCCTAATGTTCTGACCAATCCGTATTCCTTAGTACACTTCAACTGACTAAATTAAAATAAAATAAAATAAACTTGGCGTCATACTGCCCAGAAACTCTTATTCCTAGTCTGTGTCTAACAAACTCAGGGTAATCATAAAACAACTTATAACAACGTATTCAATTCATTGGATACAGTCATATCCAGAAACCTATAGGTCAAATATAATTGTGTACTATACTCTTTCAATTCAATTCAATTCCTCTTGGATCTCTGAACTCTTATATCCAAGGCATTCTTAATGTATACTATCACTTAATATTAATCAATATAAATTATCATCCCTTAGTTTTCTTCCTTTTGTTACCATTGTTTGTTTTACTTCACCTCGATTATAAACAAAATTACTTATTCTAGTAAATCTATGAAATACTATTGAACTCAATCTTTGTGGTATTAAGTAACCATGATCCTTATTTTATCAACTTCATATTTTATCTACTTCTGATACTTCATTCTATGTATAGGTAATAATGTAATAGTTCTCTTCATAATACTATCCTTTCATATTTTTACTTTATGTGTTATATAGTTATAAGTAGTCTCTTGGTATTAATACTCATAACTGTTATATAACTTTCCATTGTCTGTTTTCTTCTTCGTTAATATTTAGGAATTGATATGTATGTTAGTGTCAATCTTTTATTTCTTTGTAAGTCTGTTAATCTTCTGTATCGAATGAACTCTGTAGAATCTTCCATCACAGTTTGCAGATCAGATGAAAAGTCTCTTTCCAACAGTCGATGTCCAGTTGTCTGAAGGAATGCTTTCCTGATTTATTGCCACATGGATCACGCTTTACCTACATTAAAACAAATAACATGTGCAGCATCAATACAATGGCTTACAATGTTTATATCTCATTATTATTATATAGTTTAACATTGAATCATATTGACTACACAAAACATACTAATTTCTTCTCATGAGATCTACCATCTAGTGGTCATTACATTTATGCCATGTGATGTATAATCTTTAAATTTCCTTTATATTCAAATCTTTCTGAACATTTTAATTTGCCAAACTTTTTATTAATCATACCCCCCTTTTAAACTGTTTAATAATCTGGAGGTATAACCTAATTACATATCAGATGTTACAACTAAATATTGTTTTACACTATACTTTAGCAATAGCAGCCATTTTGTCTTAACACTGGCACCATTTTGTCACATGAAACAAACTACAAAAAACATATATTGTTTCCTACATCAAATGTATTTGTAAATCTAGGTTTTATTCTATCAAAACTTTTGTCTTCTATGTAGTCAAAACATATGTATGTCCAGGTTTTGCAAAATATAGTAATCCATTATCAGTCATGACATTAAAATCTCATTCTCATGAATTAAATCAAAGATTTTAAATCAACCTCAGAAGCAACAACATTGTTTTTTCTTCTGTAAAATGATTGGAGTTACTGTATAATTGCATATACCAAATATAACATACATTGCATGTGCCTAACTGCTGCATTAGTATATTTCATTCTGCCATATTTGCAAACTTGGTGTAAATTTTTATTTTAATTAATTAACCTAATACTTTCTTATAACACACATAAAAAACAATGAAAAACAGTACAGACTAACAATTCATTAAAACAAACTAACATAGATCTCTATTCCTGTGTGCTCTTCTTAATTCTGGAATCAGCCTGTGTACATCTGTTGGCACACATATCCATGCTCATTCCCTAAACTGATCATATCTATTGAAGTTATCCGATTCTTATAACTTTCTGTGTTACACTGCATTGCTTGTCTGTCTCCTAATTTCAATTTTGCTAAAATTGCTCTTATTTGCCTGATTATCAGTTTACAAGGAAAGGCCTTTATTGATTTATCACTACATGTATTTTCTCTGTCAAAATTTTCAATCAACAAATTTAATTTCTCATTTGCTTTTGATTTGATATCTCGGATAAAATATCTGCAAGACCTTAAATAATGTTGTTTATTGCACCAAAAACAAATAACTTTAGGAGTTATATTCTGCCTTTTATTATCAACTCTACAGTTTTTAGTTGAATAAATTGGGAGGGGCTCAGCTGTCTGTATCACTCTTTTACACTCTGTCCTAGAAGAAGGAGGAGGAGGGGGGTGAGGGGTGTAAAATCTGCACTTCTTTCTCTGCCTAATTCCACAAGTCATTTTAACCCCTTCATTATTGGTTTCCCTCCTTAAGTTATCCAAGAACATAGCAACTTCATTCAAAGTCCTTTTTTCTCTAGCAATTACAATTGCAGTTGGATTTAGATCTTTTCACAAATTCATTAATTAACTGATTCTCAGGAAAATTAGCAACAAGTCTATATGCACTTTCAAATTTTACAAGAAAACTAAATATATCCTCCCCCTTGTGTGGTTTTAGTTTTTCCAACATTTCTGCAAAATCATTCTGTGAGGATCCATTTTCAGTATCTGTTGGTTCTGGGATTAGATTCTGTGCCTTTATTTTTCTTGTATTAACACACACTAGTTTAACTTCATTTCTACGCTGGCAAATAAAATAATTTCTTAGTTCAACTCTATCCTCTAGTTCACAGACTTTTTCTGACAATGTTCTCTCTGTTACATTGTTACACTGTTCATTTAAATCTGATTTGTCTTCTGTTAACCCATTCAAATCTACTTCTTTTTCTGCTGATTCTAAATTGTCTTGACCTGCATTTCGTTTACAAATCAATGCATTGTAAGTACAGACTAGTTTCATAACATTTCTGATCTTTTGTTTTTTTCTTATTAACAAACAATTTCTTGTCAATTTCACTATTGGCAATTTCACATTGCGTATATAAAGATTGCCACAATACAGCATCTGAATAGCTGCTATTACATGCAAACTGCAATTTACTTTTCTCTGCAATATCATTTATGAATTCCATGTTACTCACCAGATCAGTTATTTCTGTCTATTTCGTTGCTTCATCCACACAGCTGCGCAGTTCTTTGCTTGGATGATTGCCAATCTCTGCCACGTGCTTGCTTCTAGAATTCACGTTGCATCTTGTGCTTTTTGTCTCAGTTGTAGAAAATAGTCTTGTACAGTCTTTGTGATTTGAAAACTTTCTTTTTCTTACAAACACAGTTCTTCTATGATAGTCAGTCTAGATTCCTTTTTTTCTCTTCAAGTTTGTTTTCCCAGTTCCAAAATAGCTTTGTAACTCGATTCTTCTCTCTCCGCCCTTGAAGTGGGAACAAAACTTGAATAGAAGACTGGCTGGCTGGCCAATTTAAAATGTAATTTGGAAATGGTGATAATGTAGAATCTTCTTAATTTCTTCTTGTCTTCAGTTGATTGATATATATATATATATATACGTCTTTTATATATATAGTCTTGGGCCAAATGCTCGCCACAATAATATATGTCTATATTATTGAAAAGTAGTAATACGCAATCTGACTTACGGTTTCTTCTGGTTTATTCTTTGTTACGGATACATAATAAAACATAATAAATGATGTTACAGGATAATGGACATTGAACAGCAGATGGTAATTGCTGTACTTCTGATGGGAGAGTTACATCGTTGTACAGAGCCAAGAGCCAAGCCAAGAGAGAGAGACCTTGTGTCCCTCTGTTACTATATAGAAGTGTTCATACTAACGTCAGCATTTAACTCTAGCCATATAAGGACAAGACCCCCACATCCACATTCCAGAGCTCTCGGACAAAGAAAGCCTTGTGACTTTACCATCTGTTACTTATGTCAATCCACACATCCATATATATAATCAATAGAAACATAAAATATGCAATATTCTACAATATGTGTAGGGTGACACACACAGAGGAGGTGTTATTTGCCTCCCAAATTTCCTGCCACTATATACCCTCCAGTTCCTCTCATATTTAACCTTTCCCATTGGTCTGTATATGTAAGTTTACCCCATTCCCTGGTTTCTGAGCAGAGGTTGGCATAGTTGGCATGGTTTCCTGTAGGCAAATGCGTTCGAAGAATGTCATTGTTTTATGTGCCGCTGCATGGATGTGTGGTAGTTTAGCCAAATCTTTAATTTGCAGACACCTAAAAAAGTCAGAAGGTGTAAGGTGTCCCCTTTGTCTCAGGGTGTCAAATGAAATGACCTCTGTGCCCTGAAATAGGTGGCAAATGTGCTGTAGGCCTGCTCGCTCTAGGTTTCTAAAATCCCTGGCTAACATTCCTGGGTAGACGCTGATTTTCATTGAGAATCACTGGATCATTGGCATTTGTGGGCAGTCTGGCTGAAATACAGGAAGCAGGAAGAAAGAAAAAGAGGGAATGACATGCAATCAGAGGAGGGGCAGAAAAGTTGATAAAAATAAAGATTAAAACAGCTACTTCTAAAGCTAATTTTTAAACTATTTAGTAAAAAAAACATTTAATGACAGTAGTTTTACTGTTGGAGGGGAAAAGGATATGCTTTTCATTACCTATACAGTTCACTTAAGCTGCTGATCACAATGTTTACTCCATATCATTAAGCACCTATTTTTTTCTCACATTTTGCTTTTCATGTAAATACTGATTAATTTTTAGTTTTTTTACTGACCCGCTTGTTTTCCCTTTGTTGGTTATTTTTTTCATCTTGATCTGTTAATCAAATGGTGGGAAAATGTTCCCATTAGTGTAATGCAGTATATAAATATATATATATATATATATATATTTTAAGGCCTTGGCCTGTAGTTGTGGGAGGGGCTTGAATTCCCTTTGAAAGGACTGCCAATCCTCTCCCATCTTACCGTTGATGGTCTGGCGAGTCACGTGACTACTTCCGGTTGCCATTTTGCTGTCTCCTGTAGTTCCTCGTGTCCTGATTTATAGTTCCGGTGTCAGATTATATTCCGCTATCTGAACCACTGGCTAAACATTACAGTACCGCTACCCCTCAGGCCGGCTCAGAACTGCTCGTTTTACTGTAAGTCAGACCCACACCATCGCCTCACGGTCGACCTAGGGTAGCGTCATCAAGGTGTGTGTCTCTCTTTTTTTGCTATCTCTCTTTCCCTTACCTTTTTGTTTCAAATTATGTGTTCGGCATTTTTATACACACTTACATACGCTTGTAATGTAGCCATACTGTAACATATTCCATTTCTGTCTACCGTACTGTCTGAACCCCATTCCTCGGTTCTGCTCTTTTTCCATTTAAAGACACTTAGTTTATTTGTATGCATTCAAATGAATCATGTGATTTATGTCGCTAGAAACAGATGAACAGCTGTTCATACTCATGCTGCGCGCACAGTCCTTACAGATTGCCTGTCTTCAGCATTCGTCTGTTACTTCGAGAACAAAACCGTGAGTTTACAAATCTATAATCTGCCCCCTTTTCCCACCTCCACAACACTCAGGGTTTGTACCGAGGGAAGCCGGAACACAATTGGACTCATGTATCCGTCAGATGAGACCACCCATGGTCTCCTCGCTGGCACACCAAACGGAACGTTCATTTCATGTGTTTCTCAAACACCATGTAAATATATTTTGATAATTGTATGTGAAACAGTTTCAATCAGTATAATAATAATTAATCCTGTCTAAAAGCCCTAATTTCTTTGTGATTATCAGCCATTACTAGGCATGAGCATTTCTCAGCAATAGAGAGATAACATTTATTTGGATGTACCTGCTGTCACTTGGGGCGAGGTGACACATACAGTTCCATATTGGCTCCCAAGAACACAGGGAGAGTATTGTACTGTCAAATTAGATGTACACATTTGAGCCTTTCTTGGCCCAGCACTACCATCTCCCTCTTCACCTCCTCGTGGTTTCATTTTCCAGTAGCTCTATGCTTTATCAACAAAGTATATCTGTAACACATAGAGCATACCCTATACTTTTAGGGTATACATTTAGGTGTCTTATTCCATAGATACATTTTATTTCATTTAATGGTCTGCTTAAGGATGTTCCAAGTCCTGGTCGTAATGTTGTTATTTTAGGTAAACACTTGGTTAAGTACTGGGGCCAGCACTGATGTACTCATTGAAGTTTTACTTTTATAGTGGGCATACACATCTGGCATTCCTTAGGTGCCATGGTCAAACAAGATGGTTGCCTTACAAGTACTACAATTCCATCATCTGCCTCTGTCATATTTCACTGCTCATCTATAGTTGCTGGTAGATTTATTTTTATTTGTTTGGGCCCATGATCTGGCCCACTCACATAAATATATACGCACAGATACTCATCACATCTTAATCTATAGGTTGCAGCACTTATCTACTGCCACACTCTCGTTCCTATATTTCTGCATAAAAACTCAAACTTAATCAGGTACGATTTCACAACCCCGTGCCTTTTCTATTTTTAGAGTGGTACTGGCTTTTGAGATTTAGGTTGTTCAAATAGGTTTCTGTTTCAGGTCTCAATCCATAAGCTAGTGATCCCGCGTGGCCTACACCCACCCTCATACTCGGAGGTATATGTCCCTTGGCCCAAATCATAGTTAGCCACCATTCATTGTCAGATAGAGAGGGCCTCCAATGTCACTCCCATTCTATCTTATGCTTTAGTTACCACCGAGAGGCCAACACCCTGCCACAACATCTCGGTGGCCTCAAAGTCCCCTCAGGCCAACACATAGTTAGAGCCTCTCACGCTGCATGGCAACTATTAGGGACTCACCTGTCACGTAAAGATAGCATAATTCTTCGCTGCTTGGCATCTAGCTAGCCTGCTGGTCACTTTGTCTCACTAATAGTAATTAAGTTACATGTATATATTTTCAGTTATGTCTCAAGTTCCTGATGTTCCTGAGGAGCTGTCCCTTCCCAGCAACCCCACTAGGTCCGCTACCCCTGGCCAAGGAGCTGATGTGCTGGGGCACAAATACGGTGATACTGCTTTTTATGCCTACCACCAGGGGCGTACCTAGAGCATTTGGCACCCGGGGCGGATCCTGTGCTTGGCACCCCCCCCCCCACCCCCCTCCCCAAAAAACAAACAAAAAAAAAACCTGTAAAAAATGTTAAAGGTTTTATTTCTTTTATTTTTACAATTTGTAAACTTTGCAAAACCGTTGTCAGCCCCTCCTACAAAACCCTTGTCCTGCTCTGCCCCTCCTACAAAACCTCTGTCCTGCCCCTTCTACAAATCCTGTACTGCCCCATCTACAAAACCCCCGCAACCCCCTTCCACAAATCCCTGCTTATCCCCCCTTATAAAGACTCCTGTCCCAATACAAAACCCCCACCCCTTCTACAAAATCCCTGCAGCCC